CCCCCCCCCCCCCCCCCCTCGCGGTTGTCGATGTCCTCATCGACCGCTCTGTTTCTAAAAAGGGTAACTGGAACTGCGGCACACTGCAGCGAATATTTTCATACAAATACTTAGCCGCGGCCACCCCAGGGTGCTGAAGAACTGCGATGCTGTTTCTGGGCATCCCGCCTCTAAAAAGAGTTTTCCATCGCAAAGCATATTGCTCGCCGTCGTGACAATTTGAACAGAGGCCGTAAGGTATGCTCTCCTGTTCGGGGCTGGGATGCCCCGATTCGGGTCTCCCCGGGAATGACGTCCCCGAAAGCAGCCGTAAGGTATGCTCGCGGGGCGTCCCAGGGGAACCAGCCATACAGAGCGGCGATGGCGCCTAAACGTTGGCAAGATGCCAAATCTTGTATTAGGCTTGAAAAGCTCCCAAAATCAAGATTTAAGTTTAGGATAACATACAATCTAGGAGTAAAATATCCTGGGGGTCTCATCCGGTAAGGGAGGCATCAAGTGGCTGCCCTCACCACCCACCCCCTAAACTACCTACACTCCCCCTGCCGCACAGGTTTCTTGATGTACGGGACCCCTTGAGCCAGGGGAAGTGCAGGCAGTCTAGGGGGGGGGGGGGAAGGTGGGGGTTAGGGCAGCCACTTGATGCCCTAACTCCCACCTTCTCCTTTGCCGGATGAGAACCTATCCTGGTAGCCTGAGCAAAAAAATCTCTAGAAGTTTTTCAACCTCCTCTACTGCGTTATCTTAGCGTCGCCTTTTTTGCGTATCTAGTCGCTTAGGTTGACGGACTACTTGAACTCTGCCATTCAATTGCCTCAGTCCACGCTCTCGTCTGCGCTCTCTCGCATTGTTGGCGGCTGATGACCATTGTGATACACATATTCAAACTTTTGCCCCACTGTTTCTGGCTCATCCACCTAGGACTTCCTCCTTAATCTTAGGGTTCCCACCTCACTCCTTGCGATTTGGAGCCGCGCCAGGTGTCGTTTCAGCACAGGATACCCAGGGTTTAAGGACTACTTGAACTTCTTTCCCATGGAGAAAGTTCAAGTAGTCCGTAAACCCTGGGTATCTTGTGCCGAAAGCAAATACTATTGGCTGGATACGTTGGAAAAACAAAGCATTGGCATTCGAAAACTAGTTATCAAATGATTGCGAAACAAAAGCAGTTCGTGGATGAAATTCGTAGTTGAGCACAATGGAATAGCGGAAGAAGGCGCAATGTGGCTCGGGGGGCCACTCTGTGGACAGTTCTCTGGGACTAAGCCTAGGCAGCAGGGGCGAACTCTGGTGGATGCGAAAACTTTTCGTAACTCGGAGTGTCTCCCCTCTTGGAAAGCTTAGTTCTGAAATTAAGTTTTTCCGTGATCTTGCCGGGATGTTCCGTGCCCCCCCCCCCCTAGCCACATTGCGCCGCGGAAGAACAATAATTACAAAGGATGTCGCCAAAAGCATGAAAACCAAAGTGTTCAGCAGGGGGTTGCGTAAGCCATAGAGAATTGCGCGCTCGACAGACAATTCCGCACTCTGCCGCGTCTGTCAATAGTTACGGTAGCCCCGGCTAGCCCCGATTGCATGTTAATCGGGAAGTTTTCCCTTGAACCAGTGGGCATGGTCTCTCCCCAAAAGCTCTCCCCGAGGGCATACCTCTCTTGGGGAGAGCTTTCGGGGAGTGGCCACGCCCACTGGCCGTAAGGTATGCTCCCCCGAACAGAGGAGGGGACCCTCCCCTGTTCGGGGGAGCATACCTTACGGCCCCAGGAGCAGCGAACTTCCTGAGCGGCGCATCGATTGTACTCCATAATTTGGACATAGAAATCCATTCTGCAAGCGTTTTTGCCGTCACCGGAGTCCAAACGGTGACTATCCTGCCACCCTCCGAATGGGTTTTTGCGATCTCCACGCTCTCCTCAATGGTGGAACTTTCTGCTTTACGTTCCAGCGGCAGCACTATTATCCATTGTGTACCATACATTGTCCACTCCGCGAGAGTATTCTTCAAACTTTCGAACGACTTCACCACTCTGGTATAAACGCCTCCTCGGGGTTCTTTTTCCCAAGACCACTTACAATTCGACAGGGGTCCCGCTTGCTGGGAGAGACCGAAACAGAACTTCCTGTAGAACGATGTCATGTCGAGGAACGTCCTTAGTTCCTTCACCCCGTTAGGGGCAGGGTAGTCGCGAATCGCTTACACCTCATCAGGATCCATATGAACCCCTTCCTCACCCACGATATGGCCGAAAAACGACACCTTCCTTCTTAACAGATGGCATTTCTGAGTCTTTAGCCGTAGCCTCGCCTCTTTCATTCTCGTAAATACCTGCCTTAGCAACTCCAGGTACCACTCTTTTGTGTCGTACAAACAATAATATCGTCGACGTAACAGAATACCTCTGTCCCCAGAAGGTCTCCCAACACAAAGTCCATTAACCGCTGAAACACTGGGGAACTCGTGCTCAATCCAAACGACATCACTTTAAATTGAAACAATCCCTCCGGCGTCGTGAAAGCAGATTTCTCTTTTGCTTCCTCTGCCAGCGGAATCTGCCAATATCCACTGCAGAGATCCAAGGTTGAAAAATTCCGTTTCCCCGAGAGACTCTGCAAAACCGCCTCTATGTTGGGAAGTGGGTATGCGTCCAGCTTGAGTTTCTTATTTAGTTCTCCATAGTCAACACAGCCGGATACCGCCGTCTCTCTTTTCAACCAGCACAATCGGAAACGCCCATTCCAGCTTACTGGGCTCTATCATCACATTCCTTTGTACCAAGTCCACTAATAGTTCTCTCAACTTGGACTTTACCCCTAGTGGGACCGGTCTTGCTCTCATTATATTACTGAGTTTGTTGCTGTCTTGAACTCTTCCCGAGGTTTTTTAACCCATCGACGACCATCACTGCAGTCCACATGTGGACTGCATGGTCCCGCACGGCCAATTTCTTTAATTTTGCTGGAACTTGTTTAATTTTTCTGAGTTTGCAAATTTAGGATATGACTAACGACGATGGTAGGTGGCACTTCAATTTTAGTCAGCTAGTGATGGATTCTGATGAAGAGAAGTTCCTCAATCACCAATTCATTTCAAAAAAAGAAATCATTGAAGGGTCACATGTTTCTTCAAAAAGACACCGGTGTGGTGTAAAACTGTCTAAATTAGTGCGGAAGGTAGACATACCCTGGAAACCAAAGGCTAAAATATAAGTATGTGTGATGTCTATGCTTATTGTTATTATCTGTTAATTGCAAAATTAGAAGCTTTCTTGGGATCACACAGTATATAGTTTAACTTCGACCTGATCCTATGTTTTGACAAGAAAGATCGTTAATAAGTGGCGATAAATAAAATATACAACTGCAATCCACATGTGGACTGCATGGTCGTCAATGGGTTAAATAATTTATTAGGGTGACGTTTCGGCGGAATCGCCTTCTTCGGAGCCTGAAAGGATCATAACAATCTCTGATCATCCGATCAAACGTCTCCACCAACCCACTAGGTTCGAGACCCCCAGGGCGCGCAGGTGGTCGAAAGGAGAACCACTCACCGTAACTTTGTGGACTCTTCGAAACCACCCAACAAGTAGTGGTACCAACCGACCAGTTTTAGCTGGGGTACGCCTTCATTAAAGTCTGTGAGGGAAGGCCATTCTTGTATAAGGCTTTTTTTTTAACAGAAATCATCTTCATTTAAATCATGTGAAACTACTAAATTTTATGGAGATTGATGCTTCTTTGTTTGCATTATTCATCAACATACATGAAATGGTTGCCATCCTTGTTGTGGAGAACTACTTATACTTACTCGTCTCTCAGCGATTTTCAGGTTTAACACAATCGATGTTATGGAAATGCTCGCGTATCTTTCCGTAGTGACGACGTCGAATTCAGGAACCTCTCCGACATCGTCTGCGGCCTCGTCTATGTCAGAGACGGCCGCTGATTGAGGGGGTGACAGGGGCTGAGGGGACATGGCTAGAGATGTTGTAGAAGGCTCTGCCATAACAATAAGCGGATCTTCCCCAACATCGTTGAGTGACTGTCCGAAAGGAATGAACTGAAATCCATGGCTAATCCTCAGCTGCTGATACTCCAATGGGGCGTGCCGTTCAGTTCGTGAGTGATTCTTACGTTACTCGGTATCAAGGGGCGCTAGTAAAGTAACCGGGGATTCTTCGAAACCACCCAACAAGTAGTTGGTACCACTACTTGTTGGGTGGTTTCGAAGAATCCACAAAGTTACGGTGAGTGGTTCTTTCGACCACCTGCGTGCCCTGGGGGTCTCGAACTTAGTGGGTTGGTGGAGACGTTTGATCGGATAATCACAGATTGTTATGATCCTTTCAGGCTCTAAAGAAGGCGATTCCGCCGAAACGTCAGCCTAATAAAGGTTATTTAAAAAACCTCGTGAAGAGTTCAAGCAACAGCAGCAAGAGCAACAAACTCAGTAATATAATCATGCCGAGGTTCATAGAAAACCGCACATGGAACTTGCTCTCATTTTTATTGGGGGAGTATCTCCTGTATCTATGTCCATATGTACCAGACCCATTTGACTCAGTTCCTGGTCTGAGACAGCAAATGCCTCTGCATGCTCTCTTAACAGTTAGGGTACAGGCTGGCAACTCTTGTTAAATACGGGGATCGATGTTTTCCGGTCCTTAATGGTGAAGACTTCCGCCACTACGCCTTGCTTACTCGGCCAGATCACCCTTTCTACTTCGCCTTCTTTTTCACCTTGACATACCACCTCTACCAGAGCCGTGTCACCTGGGGTATATAGCGTCTCTCCGCTACCACAACTCTGTTTCCTTCTGCGTCTCTCACTGATTCCTTGACTGGACCATCCCGCTCTTTTCCAATCGCAATGTTGATACCCAAGCAAGCTAAGGCATTGATTCCTAATATTATCTCCATCTCCTTGTTTGGGCTGATGTGGAATGCTACCTCCTGGGTCGTCCCTTGTTCCATTTTGACTTGCAAATAAACGGCTGCAAGGAAATTCATCCTATTATTTGATGCGTCGAACACTGGCTTTAGCTTTGATTTGGGCACCATAACCAAAGAATCCAAATCAAAACCTTTATCTTGGGCTTTCGCCAATAGCTCCACTGGGACAATACTTATCATCGATCCCATGCCGATTGGCGCCTAACAATTTTCATCTAGAAGTTGAAGGGATACCGTAACCCTGTTTCCTACGGTCCGGCACGCTCTTCTCTCCCACTACCAACCCCATGCATCTAGCACTACTCACGATAGCCGACAGTGTCTCATCCTTCCGAGGGGGTGACATGTCCCTCGGCTCCATCTGATTTACTCTAGCCGTCCGTACTGGACAATCCCTTGCCACTTGCCCATATTTGGAACACCTAAAGCATTTCCTATCCTCGACACCCTCCTTCAAGGCCCATACTGGATTGCCCTCGCATTTCGCAACTGTCTCTGGGATTCCCTGTTGCTGCTGGCTTGGTAGTTGCCTCGTCTACCACTTTCGTCCACATTCGCTGACGCCTCTCACTTGTTCTGGCCTATTCCGCGCATAACTCATTTCTCCGGCTCTCTCCACCGCCCACTGGCTGCGATATTGTGCGGCTCTTTCTTTCCATTTTTGGTCCGCTGCCTTCCCACCGCAACCAAACGTAATTTTCGATTGCTCTATGCTAAGAGCCAATTGTTTCACCTCTTCATATGCCCTCCGTGGGTCTACTCTATGCAATGCCCCTACTAATTGAAAATGTTCAGGCCACCCCTGAGGTTGTGTAACAAAATTTGCGCGTACTCCAATCGGTCTTCGATCGTGCATTACGGGTTGGCCTGTCGTCCCAGCTTCTCCAATACGGCGCAGAATTCGGCTACTTTCTGATGCGGTCTCAACTTAAGATTCCGCAACTCCGTGAGTGCCCTCATCCGACCTGCTGTTGAGTCATAGGATAAAAGCCTGGCGATTTCCCTCGTCACTGCATCGAGCCCCTGCTATTTCGTTGTCCTTGGGAGAGCCGCGAATATGCTTTTTGCCCTTCCTGCCAAGTGGTCGTCTCCTAATACTTCTATGAGGGTTGCTCCGCATTTGATTACCTGCTCGTACTTCCTTTTAAACATTCTCAGAAACTCTTCAAAACTTTCGCTCTTAGTGCCTCTGAACACCCCGGGGTCACTACATGCCATCGATCTTAGGTACGTTACCAATTGCTGAGAAATAGACGAACCTGCGTCTTCCAACGCCGATGTTGTCAAAGCCATCGATGTTGAATGTTGTCTCGAGCGATCTGCATATATCTGTCCAGTCGAAGGCATCTGCAACTGATTGTTGTAAGCTTCTCCACCCCCACTACTTGCCTCGACTGTCCTACCTTGAACCTCCATTGCCTCATCTTTGCACCCGGATTCACGCTGAATATTCGCCGCATTTATTTTTACCTGCAACACATCTGTGTTGAGCATTTCACAAATGCCTGCTAACACTTCACCATCTCTTTCCATAGTATTTATGTGCTCGTGCCACTCTTCATATGACTCAATACCTCTCTGAGTCAACATTTTACTCGTCTCTCTCTCCAGCTCATGGGGAATCCCTTTCTCACTACTGTTGCCCGTAGTCACGCCTTCCATCCCTCTTAAAAGTAGCCAAACGCTTTTTCGGTTTCAGTTCTTTTTTCCTTTGATACACGAGACTCGCACAAAATTTCGCCTACTTTCTTTTGTAACTGCCCTACCAGGGCCTCGCACCTGTCCCTCACGTATGATTCCTTAGTAGGCGAAAGTAACATGCTCCTTCTCACCTCCGTGTGTCCACATTTTCGGCCATTTCTGTGCTAACACGATCCTCAACGGGAGGAGGGGGGGGGGTCTGTCTGGAATCATTCATCTTATTCTCCTTTTCTACTACACAATGTCACCGACTCACGCAATTGTGGGTACCCTTGAGTGGTTCCTGCTTAGCCACTTTGAAACCCAAAAGCTCGACTACCCTTACTTTGCGGTAGTCTCGAGTGCCACACAAATGGTCAATACCATCAATGCACCACGAAATTGAAAAAAAAGGAGACAAAAAACGCCATTCAATCCGATACACGCGAAAAATAAACAACTGGATACGGATATTTGATGTCCGGCACGCCATGCAATCAATAATCAATACTGGCGTCACGATATCTACACTCCAGGCACTACCCAATCACGATCGGTTCGGCCTCATGTACACAAAGATCAAAATCGTGAAATAGGTAGGGTGGAGTGCACCACTGAACTAGCGAGATTTACGAGACGAATAATACAAATTTATTTTTAAAAAAACCACAGAACGATTAATCAACAGCAAAACAAAACAAACTACAAACAAGGTTAGATCACTTCCCCCAGATCACCTGGCTTCGCGAGGTAGTCGAAGAGAAAGCGTGCACTCCAGCGTTTCCCGGAACACACTCGTACTGGTTCCCTTGTCGTGTACTCCGAACCACTTGCCCCTAAGGGATACCTTGGGACCTACGCTGGTTTCGAGATCTCGGCCACTAAGGCCGCTACACTATTTCTGCCACTTAGGCTAGAACTGGCCGCTAAGGCTCTCCGATTATCTGGGTCACCTAGACCCCTCGAGCTACGGCCACACAGGCCCTTACGAGATGAACCGGCCACAGAGGCCACAGAGGATAGCAGAGATGAGGGGAGACCTCGCCTCAGACGAACACACGAGTCGAATACCTAACTTACTGAACCACCCTATTCGATACCTTCACTCCCCCGCGCGATCAGTTTCTGACCTCCTACGATCATTAGTACGCCTTCCGTTTAGGGGGTCGCTCATCCGTGCGGTCTCTCTCTTCGGCCCTTGCCGACATATTTGCTTTCTATTCTACCGGGCAGCGTCATACATACACCATATACAGTCGCGGTCAGAAATTTGGAAACTTTATTTTTCGATATTGTGCAGGCACTGCATTACGTAACTGTTTCGCATAGTAGGTATAAAAGTAAATAAGGAACACGATAGGAAACGTGATTGTTCGAGACCAGATGATCATAGTTTAAAAAAAAAACACGATTTATTGTGAAAAGGGCGCGTCAAAAGTTAGGAAACTTCACAATGACCGGGGACATTGATCGTGGTAACATGAATTTACAAACAAAATATCAATACTTCCTTGGATACCCAAGGGAATCGACTACTGCTTTGCATCATCTTGGCATTGAATCGATTAAGGCTTCAATTTTGGACTGTGGTATCAGAGCCCACTCTCTAGACAATAGACTGAATTTTTCGTCGGCATCCCTAATAGGAACCTGGCTTGTAGGAAGCGCTAGTTCCTCCCAGAAGTGCTCTATAGGATTCAGGTCTGGGCTCTGACTCGGCCACTCCATAACGTTGATTTCCTTTGACTGCTCTGACTCGGCATCTCCATAACGTTGATTTCCTTTGAATGTAGGAAGTCGGCCACGAGACGGGAACTATGTTCGGGTCATTATCGTGTTGAAAAATCCATCGTGTCGGCAGATTTTGGTTGGCGAACGGGAGCATTACATTCTCCGAGATGTCCTTATACTGAACCGAGTTCATATCGCCCTGGATACGAACGAGTGGGCCAACGCCGGATAGGCTGAAACATCCCCATAGCATAACGCTTCCTCCACCGTGTTTGGCCGTCGGGATTTGGTACTTCGAAGTACTTTGCTTATTCACGGGACGTCTTACACACATTATGCTATCACTGCCAAAAAGACAAAACTTCGACTTGTCACTGAACAAAACTTTTTTCCAGTTATCTCTATTACAGGCGAGGTGCTTGTGCGCAAAGTCAAGTCGGGCCGGTGGTTTTTTTGCTAAGACGTCTTCCAAAGAGTCCTCCGGCACTGAGCCGACGTTGGGCAATGCTTTGCCTGATAGAAATCCCAGAAAAAGATATATCTCGTTTATGAATATCCGAAGCCGTCGCGCGCGGATCGCCCATCAATGTCCTAATAATTAGAGACTCGACTCTTGGTGTTATCTTTCCTGGTCTTCCGGAGCGAGATTTTCTCATTATAAATCCTCGGCTTCGATAACGCTTGAAAACTATGGGAATTGTGCTATTAGCGAGATTATATTGCTGGGAAAGCACACTCATCTTCGTTCCGGAACGAATGGCTTCAATAATTGCTTCCTGGACGGATACTGGAACTTCTTTACCTGATCCCATCTGAAGACCACCGAATATGCCATGCTTTGACTAAACATTACGAAAAATCCACCAACCTGGACAAGAAGAAGCCAAAACGGTATGGCAGGTAGCGAGTTTCCAAACTTTTGACGCGCTGTTCTTCGAACTTTTCTTATTTTAGGAATCAGACTTTTGATTTTCGTGAAACCACATTGCATGCCATATTTCGCACATGATTTTATATCTAATATGTAACTTTGGGATAATTACGATCTCAACTGGCCGCGCTTTCGATAAATTAAAGTTTCCAAACTTTTGACCACTAGTGTATATGTCATATCATGTACTTATATCATGTATGTATGACACTGTCTGGTAGAGACGAAAGTGTCACCTCACTTCTACTAATGCTATTAGATATACATGACACTTGTCATGTATATCTGATAGCATTAGTAACAGTGATGTGACACGAGGACAACGCTGAGCTGGGGAGGGGCCATATTTTCAAATTGTTTCCATAATTCAGGTAGCCTGCCATGGGTGCGGAGGGACGGCTGCTGTAGTCTGGTTTAATGATTGATTGATTAGTCGTATCCACATCTTGTCGATGTATTGTTTGGATAGCTGTCAATTTATTGTTACTCTTGTGACTTTGCTCTCTTCTGTTGAGGTAGGCGATCCTCAAAAGCACCCATATTTATATACAAGATGGCTGAAAATTATAGAACGCGCCGTTTGGCTATTGCTGTCATCCTGGCAAGGGGTATTTTCAACATCTTTCTGGACTTTTAGAAAGCGCGGAAGCTGTGCAAGGTGCCTTATAAGTCATTCGATTGACCGTCCGTCCGAACAATCGCTATGGAAGTTTCTGCGCATCGATCCACGAGTTGCTCAGAGGTTTCAGGAGTTGTGACATCGCAGAAAGACTCGGCGTTCCGTCCTTAACCATTCTAAATGTTTCTGTTGCTTTCAGGGCTCGTGGACAAGCCTCTGAGATGCTTGGCCAAAAAGTGGACGACTGAGATCAGTGAACACACCTGGGATCGTGCCATCATAGGAGGAATATCACCCGCCACGATGAACAGCATGAATCGGATTGCTTCTGACCTCAACATCAGCAGTCAATCCGTTCAGACGATTTTGAAATGCGATCTCGAGCTGAACAGTTATTGGCTCTGTGGAGTACAATTTCTGTCGAAGCAGTTAAAACAAAGTCGGCTCATAAGATGCAAAAAAAACATCTTCAAGAGCTCAGGGCGCGACGCATCTCTCACATGATCTGGACTATTTATAAAATTTTCGCGGAAGAACACTGTCCAAACTGTCAAAACCACGGACAGTTGTAATTAGCTGACAGTAGGCCCCTAAAACGTCGACTATTGCTTAGCAGACTATCTTCCAAAAGTGTGATGGTTTGGGCCGGGGTGACATCAGAAAGCAAAACTCCACTGCTCTCCATCGACAGAGATGTGAGAAACAACTCTACGAGGTCTACCAAAAGGTGGTTTCGGCCAATTGGCGACCGCGCCTTTCGAGTGTGTCTGGCGTATGGGACCGAGCGCGATTTTCGTGGGCTGCTGCTGTGGCCCGCCGGCGGGCTACGCGGTCCCAGGAGCAATCCAAATTTTTTACGAGTTGTTTCCCTGAGATGAAGTTCTATAAAAATGTCATGGAAGTAGTGATAAGTTATCCACTATTTGACATTTCCTGTTGTTTTGTTGTTTTCTAGGTGGGAATGGTTGTTTCAAACCATTTCTGAACCTTCGTAGCGGGTGGAATCGAGACCCCAGCAGAAGACGAATGCGTTCTGTCCAGACACGAAGGATGGATTCCCCCCTTCAAACTTTGATGGACTGGCTAGAAGTAGATAGCATCGTTGTAATAATTTTCAAAATCGGTTGGATTAGCCCAAAGAATTCAGGATGAGGAAACCATGTCGCTACTGCGGGGAAAACCGTTTGGGAACATCAGTACCTTCCCAAAGATGAAGGAGAGCTCGATTGTCTGGAAAATAGGGCGGCTTTGCATTATTGGAATGGAGGGATAAGGGAGAAATTAGCTTCGCATGGGGGTAAAGGAATCTATCGAATAATCCCATAGCCGTTGAAGGGCACATACAAAACCCAAAACGATTTGTTGACCAAAGCGTTCAGATCTAAACTGGATGTCGGCTTATTCTACAATTGTGCATCGCACCCACAGGACGGTATCGAATGTTTCCTTTGATTTTCACGCAGAGTGATTGTCGTGATTTGTACAACAGACTTTTTTGTGACACAAGTGAGGTGTTAACTTCATCCAACTCAAGGTGAACCTATAGAATCCTGCTTTCGAAATATTCTCGGCAAAAGTTCCTCAAAAGAACCTACATATCGGAAACCCGTTTACGGCCACACGGTCCCAGGAGCACGGTATGGTGTGGTCCGCCGGCGGGCCATATTGTCGTCAAAGGGTTAGAGGACACGCTGTTTATCC